CTAGTTGTTTGTCGTGTCACCCACGTGTGAGCGTGCGCTTGCGAATCAGCTACTGCTGCCTGTAGGACAGAGTCCACACAGGCACAATTCATATAAGCACAGGCCAGCATGGCAACAGCGATTCGCCAACACGCATGCAGTAATGGAGTCCGCGGAGGGAGAGAGTTATGGCAACCAGAAGTAGATAATGTTTCGAGCAGCGTGCCGCAGATGTGCATGCTGCGCGAAATTGGGAGGGATGCTCGGCAACAGGCCAAAGCGATTTTGGGCGAAGATACCAAGAAAGAGCAGCGATGAAAAGAGCAAAAGAAGTGACCACCGCTTTTCGATAATCAAACGCCCCTAACTTCACTAGTATGGTGCCATTTTGAAACATTCTCACGGCTCCGTAGTCATGGCACACTTGCACACAACATCCCTACCACAAATAAATTTAAACCTCTGGGTAGTTTATGGGGCCTTTTAAAATGTAATATTGGGTGTCTCCAAATTATGCCATGTGGATTGGTCACATTCCTAAACGATGCACATGAAGGAGATTGCACCTCCCGACTTAACAAGGTTACTCAAGCATTGCCATATTTTTCTTACCCAGCCTTTTGAGTAACTAAATGAATAAAAATTTTCATGAAAACTAACAGACAATGACACAAAGAAAAATATTGGGGATGTTATGAGAAATAATTGTAATTTAAATGTGAAGAAAGTGCTGACTGACGCTCCCACTTTTAAATGCACACATATGCCTATACCTGTGCAAATATTCTATGGCTTTGAATATTCGCACAAATAGTTAGCTATTCATGTTCACTTTGATTCGTATCTAAATGATTGAAAATTTCATTTCATTTCATTTTTATTTCCTTAAAGACCCCTTGCGGGGCATTACATAAGGGTTGGGTACATAAAAATTGAGCAGAAAACAATCGTTTGTCCTAAAGTGAAAGATGATTAGTGATACTGGTTGTGAAGGTAGAAGTACAAGTAATGGCAGGAATGTCGCCTGAAAGGCCATTCCAGGCAACTGCCGTGCGAGGAAAAAATGATGTTGAAAAAGTAACGGTGCGTGCACGTGGGCGTCCGACTTGAAGTGGATGATTAGTTCGTTGAGAGATGTACGCTGGGGGAACAAAATAAGGTGGCATGCGCATCGAGCTGTGAAAAAACTTATGAAATAACGAAAGACTGGCGATACGGCGGCGGAGGGAAAGGAGGGGTAGTTGAAGTTCTGCCTTTAGTGAAGATACGCTGACGTCATGGGAGTAAGAATTATTGATAAACCTAGCGGCACGGTTTTGAATACACTCAAGGGCGTTTTCAAGATAGGCCTGATGCGGGCTCCAGATTGGGGAAGCATATTCAAGTTTAGTTCTAACAAGGCTTTTGTAAGCTAATAATTTTACATTTCTAGGTGCGTTACGTAGACGACGTCGCAAGAATCCCAATGTTTTGTTTGCCGATGATATGACTTTCGTGATATGCAAACCCCATGAAAGATCGTTGCAGAGTGTGACCCCACGATATTTAAAAGAATTAACAGTTTCAACTGGAATATTACTGATGGAATATGGAAAAACAAGTGGAGAACGGCGGCGGGTGAAGGATAAGGCTTTGCATTTGTGAGCGTTAAGTTCCATTAGCCAATCATCGCACCATTGTTTTACATTGTTAAGATCACTCTGTAGAGCTAATTGATCAGAAGCGTTACAAACAGTGTGGTAAATAATACAATCGTCGGCAAACATTCGGATTTTACAGGATACACGAGTTGGGAGATCGTTAATAAATATCAGGAACAAAATCGGGCCCAGAACCGACCCCTGCGGGACACCAGATGTTACCGGAAGTGAAGTAGAGGTAGCATTGTTAACAAAGACAGCCTGAGTGCGGTTACTTAAAAATTCACGGATCCACTTTAGGACGTCGGGGTGTAGGTTTAAGCGGGAAAGTTTCAACAGAAGGCGTTTATGTGGTACTTTATCGAATGCCTTCGCAAAGTCCAGGAATATGGCATCAGCCTGTACGTTAGAATCCAAGTTAATATGCAAGTCGTGCGAAAACATAGCCAGTTGAGTCTCGCACGACAAACCTTTACGAAAGCCATGCTGCGCGGAATTGAAAAAGTTATTTGAGTCTAGGAAGTCCATAATCCGGGTGTAGATGACATGTTCGATGATTTTGCATGGAATGCTAGTTAATGAAATTGGTCGTAATTGAGGGGTGACTCTCTAATACCTGATTTGAATACTGGGGTGATATTTCCGTGTTTCCAATCACTAGGAAGCTCACCCGTGGAAAGAGACTGCGAGTAAAGTAGACACAAAAATTTTGCACAGATCTGTTGAGTGTTCTTTAGAAATTTCGAATTTATGTTGTCGATACCTGATGATGAAGATAATTTAAGTTTATCAATGATTGCCAAAACTCCGGGTTCAACAAAAAGGATTGGCGGCATGGAAGTACTGACTACGCTAGGCTGTGGCGGGGGTGCAACGTCAGTTTCTTTTTCAAATTTTCAAAGTATTCGCATTGACAGAATAGATGTATATTAGTTCGCATGTATATTAATCCGCAGTAAAACCACCTGTACAGGTGGTTTCACTGTAGTGTAGGAGTGTCAAGCCGCGAAAGCACTAATTCAGAAGACATCCGCATTGCCGTAAAGCCCCTCTTAAAATTTAAAGTTTCCCTGCAACACTTTTTCAGCATGGTCAGAAAATGCGGCCGATCGGTAGTCTAGACTACCAACAACACACGAGCCAAATTTTATAGCGCAGCACACAGCCTATAATTCACAATTGCCAAATTCAACTAAAAATTGCTCTCTTTTCATGGCAAATGACATGACAAGCACAAAAATCTCTTGTCACAGCCATTGTATTTGGCATTGGCTAATTCTAGCATGACGCGCTTGGTCATTACTGGGGCCCCGAAGGTCAGGAGGCATGTGCGACGTTTTCCTTCCCCGTGCCATCCCTCCCTGCCTAGTTTCCAATGTTTTGTTAGGAAAGAATGCAATTATAGCGGCGACAAATCTTTGCAACTGCGCTGGTACTGGACGGATTCTAAAAATATTTGCAGTGGTGAATTCGTGAGGCAATAAGCTTCTGTATAATGAATCCAATCCACGACTACTCGGAAAAGTGTTGATGGGCCCCTTTAAATGAACATACTACCCTCGAATCAATGCATCATTTTATTAAACTTAAAAGCTTGTTATTACAACTTATATGCTCGAAGTATAATAAATTCTAAATTATACCTATTTTACAGGTTATCACTCGCATTTAACTGAGAGCCAAATCCTACAACTCAGTTTTTTTTTGGCTTCCTTTAAGGAAAAAAAATGGCATTAGCATAGAAACCTTATTTTAATTTTTTCTTTAAATATTGAACAGAATAGTTATACAGTAAAAGCTCGTTAATTCGAATTCCACGGGAACGCTGAGCAATATCGAATTAAACAAAATTCGAAATAATGAAAGTGAGCAAAATTGGGTGGATTTCGGGAGTGGGGGCACGAAAAATATTTATTGGCCAAAAAAGTCGGTGATGACTATCTGCTTCTTTTCTCTGAATGCCACAGCTGCGGCTCTCTGTTCCAGCGCGCGGACGCGGCGCAGGGAATCCTCTTCACCCTCTTCGAAGCTGAAGAGACGCGCCACATTAAGTGCCTCCATCACCGCACAAGCTGACGGGCACACAGGCGCTTCGTCATTTTCGTCTTTCTCACCTTCTGGCTCTTCAGCATCAGGCTGCGCACCGGCTACTTCAGCGATAATGTCCTCATCAGTCAGCAGGCACCACACACCAATGCACCGGTGTCAACTTCAACATAATCGGCAAAACGTACGCCCCGAAGAGTGTCACGCAATGCCACTGGCATGAGCTCCTCAGCCCCATCCACCTCGACGTCACAACTATCCTGCGCACTTCCAGCTGCAAATCCACTGTGGCGGAAACAGTTTGCGATTGTGGTCGCGGTCACCTGTTCCCATGCGAGCACCAACATGTGCATGGCAGTGAGCAGCGTAATGCCGAAGTCCTTCCTGTCGCCCGCGCACAAAATCATTCTCTCCAGCACGTGACGCCTTCGCGCAGTAGTTTCCCCGCTGCATCTTGCAAATTCGATGCGGAATAAGACGGCTTGACGACGTGAACGAACAACGTGCGCCTAGGACTGCTAGGACTACTCCGCCGACTCGTCAGCGTCCCGTGGGTCCCGCGTACAAGTGGCGCCAGGCGCTGAGATAGCGGGAGGGCTACGGGAAAAAAAAATTCCTCTCTGGATTTTGGAGGCCATACTTTGCTCCCTCTTTGCTCGGAGGCCACTTGAAGCTCGAAAAAACTGGTCGTGCCACCTATCGTTCGACCGTAAAAGCTTCCACTAGTGTTTGACGATAAAGACGCTCGGCGGCGCGCGCTTCGAATTATCCCCCCGTTGCAAAGGGGCCGGCCGCCATCACATCACCGTAGAGGCAGCTATTTCTGTTCGAATTAACGAATCGTTTTACACATGGTCTCCTATGAACTGCGGACGGGACTGCGGCGACCTTTTCGAATTATCCAAAATTTCGAATTAATGAGGTGTGAATTAACGAGCTTTCACTGTATCATGATAAATATGCCAATTTTTCTTTGTGTCATATATACTACTTGATTAAAAATTATTTGACCAAAATTACTATTTGCTTCAAACCTAAACTTCACTATTCGCACAAACCTACATATACCCTAAAAAGTGAACTGAGAGATAACCGCGACTGTAGCTCAGTTGGTGTAGAGCTTCAAGAGAATTCAAGGGTTTGGCCCTACCGGTGGCAAGCTATCTTTCTTCACATTTACACGACAATTACTTCTCATAACATCCTCTATAATTTCATTGGCATCTTTCTTGGTTCTCATTAATATTGTGTCGAACAATGAAATGAGCCCTTAAGTGTACACTTCTTTTTTTATATGAACAAACAGTCTTTAGAGAGATACTATAGGCTACTGACGCTACGGTTGACAGGTGTAGGTGTGGCGGTGCCAAGCAGTGTGGGCAGCAGTGCCTCGCCGGCCCAGATCCCAGCAACTGTGGTCACCACAAGGCACGTGTCCCCTCGTGCGGGCGTCCACCGTGGAGGTGCTGGATATGCGAGCAGCAGCAGTGCAGCACAGAGGGGGCCGCCCCATGGCTGTGCCAGCAGCCATGCCTCCACAGTCACTGTGATGGCTGCCAGAGGGAACAGGAGTGCCCAGGCAAACGCCAGGCCAACCAGCAGGTCCTGCATGTGGTCTCGGCTAATTACAAATGCCTCTATACACGAGTCAAATGACCATCTTCTGATTAGACTCACAATTTGTTGTCTCAAAAATGATGCTATGGCACCCAATTCCCAATCATAATCTGTGTCATGTGACTGCCTTCAGAAATAAGCTGTCAAAATTTCAGTACATTTTGTCAAGCACTAAAATATAAAAATTGAAAATAATTAATGAATTTACAAGCGGCCTGAGAGTTGTGCAACACTTGCACACTCGCAAGTCATGACATGGGAAGCAGCTACCTGTGCGTGTGTCTACATTACGTCTAGCAATAGTGTTTCATTGTCATCATCCTCAACCTGACTATGCCCACTGCAAAGCGAAGGCTTATCCCATGTTGCACCAATCAACCCGGTCCTGTGCTTTATGCTGCCACTCCATAGTACCTGTAAACTTCTTAATCGTATCTGCCCAACTAATTTCCCGCAAGTGTCACCTTGCATAATTGCCTTCTCTTTAACTCTTTCCTTACCACGCCACTAGGCATCGTTCACCGGTGAACGACAATTTCACGCCCCTATTTTTCAACAAACACCGTGATGATGATGATGATGTGATGATGTGATGGCGGCCGGCCCCTTTGCAACGGGGGAACACACTCAGTGTCCTGGCCTCAAAAAGAAAAGTGGGAAAAGAAAAACAAAAAGCACAGAGAAAAAAGAAAGGACCAAGAAAAGGATCCACACTCTTGAACGACACAGGCAAGAGACGCGCACACAGTGGTCTAGGTCCTAAGTCCGCCGTATAGTTGCCCACCACTCAGTAAGCCGCCTTTTCGTGGCTGCGACCGCGTACCGTCCCCCCCCATTGTCGCTGCTTCCATCTTCATCAAGCCTTTGAAACCCGAGCGCCTGTGGGAGGGTTGCACCCTCCACCTGAGAAGTTGGGAGACTCCTGCAGTGAAGGACGAGATGCTCCTGTGTCTCACTCGCTACGCCGCAAACTCTGCACAGGTTGCTGACCACAGTGGCATCAAACTTTCTGCGGTACTCCAGAGTGCGAAGAGCCCCAGCTCTCGCCTCGAACAGGAGGCTGCTGCCAATGCTATTGTCATAGAGGCGCGACCCACAGATGCTGTCCTGGTGTTTCCTGTAGCACTCGAGAGTGGACTTCGCCTCCATAGCTTCTCGCCATCGGGTTTCTTCTGCTTCTCTGACTCGCATGCGGACCTCGACCGTCCACTTGGCTGCTGTTTCAATAGGACTGGCTTCTGCAAAGAAGCCATACTTCTTCTCCAGCTGGTAGAGTCGTCGTGTCCAGTCAGTCCTCATGCATGTTGCCGAAAGGTACTCGAACACGCGGCGCGCCCATCGAGTGCGTCGCATGAGCGTGAGACGACCCCGATAGGCAATCTTGCTGGCGGCTTCCCGAGCTTCAAAGCTGGACCATCCGACGTCTCCCTGAATCGCCTCGTTGGCCACTCGATAATGGCAACCGAGCGCTGCACGGCCGACCTCTCTCTGCTGACGCTCCAACCACTCCCGTGTCGTTGGCGATATGCACACTACCGCGTTTCCAAACGTCAGGCCCGGCACGTGAACCATCTTCCACAGGTCCCGGATCATCTGAAATCGGTTGCAACCCCATAGGCATCGGCGACGAAGGATTCGTTGAGCCTGCAACGCAGTCTGTCGAATCACAGTCTCGTGTAGACTATATTTTGCTGCATCCACACACAGGGTGACGCCCAGGTATCTGTAATCGTTGCGTGTGGCCAGCAGTTCTCCTCCTAAAGTCAACGCTGCTGCATCAGTACTCCCTCCAGTTAGACGGACAACCGCCGATTTCTTAGTGTTGAATCGAAGTCCAAGACTCGCGAGTTCCGTCTGGCAGATGTCGAGGAGGGATTGCAACTCCTGGTTACTCTCTGCCATAACCACCAGATCATCTGCAAATGCCAAACCAGGCAGGTGGAAGTTCTCTTCAGCACTAGTTGTGCTGAAACGCATGCTGAATCCGAGGTTGGAGTTCAACAAGGCCCGCTCTATTCTGGATGCGTATAGAATGTACAGCAATGGTGACAGTGGGCAGCCCTGCCTCAGACCCTTATTTACATGAATTGGGCCAGTAGTTATGGCACCCAACTGCACACTCACTACATTGTCACTGTACAACCGTTGTATAGTGGAGATTAGCAGCCGGGGCAGTCCAAGGTCAGACAGGCATGCAAAGAGAGGACCGTGCGGCACGCTATCGTACGCTTTTTCAACATCGAGGAAGCAGCACAACAGCGTTCTCCCTTCCCTGCGAGCTATTTCTGCACACTGTGTGACGACGAACAGATTGTCATCCAGACGTCTGCCTGGCCTGAAGCCATTCTGAAGCTCGGTCAGTAGTCCCTTGGTTTCCGCCCAGCCACTCATCCATGCTTTGATGACCCCCGCGAACAAGCGATACATAACACTGGTGACCGTTATTGGTCTGTAGTCCTCACCGTGCTGTAGTCATCCTCACCGTGTCCTCACCGTGTCTGTAGTCATCACCGTGCTTATGGACTTGCAGCGCCATCTAGGCGATTGTACACACACTAGAATTTCTGTTTCTGTACGATTCGCATCTTTACCGCGTGGCGGTGATTTTTAAAGGGCGCGCCCATTCAAAGGTTGAAACGCACGTGATCCGCGTGATGGCGTCAACATCCGAAACCACGCGCGCTCGGAAAAACGCGATTTCGCTCGATGCCGACGCCTCGACGAGCGATCTTTTGGATTTCTCGAGCAGTGAGGAATCGGACACCGATGTGCTGACATCGGATTTCAGCTCCAATGCAGAAATTTTATCAAATCAGCCGGGAACGTCAGCTGTTGGTCGCGAGTAAGTTTGGTTTTCACCTTGTTTTGTTTATCGTATTCTGGAGCTGGCTGACTTGCTCTGTATGTGTCCCACATATTTTTTCTAGCGTGTCTACTTCATTTGGGTGCGATGTGCTGCCTCCAGCACAAAGACACGTGGACTTCCGACCCCAGAGGGATCCGGGCATCGACCTCGGCATGACGCTCCGCAGTAGTGCACAATTTATAGCTCGAGAAGTTCTCGAGCTATAACTTTCATTTTTTCAATCCTACTCCAATACGCTGTTTTAAATATTTTGCATCTCTCATAACTTTTCCATAATTTTTAACTCGGAAGATATAAGTATAAAATTACGTTTGTTGTGAATAAACCTAATTATCTGTGTTTGTCAATTTTTGTTACCTATTTAGATCTGCCAGTTCTTTCGTCAAATGTACCTTTCAAACCCTACATTTAGTACTTGCATTTCGGCAATATTTTGCTGAAAATTTTTTTTCTCGAAAAAAAAAAAAATCTCGCGTAGGACCAACTCAGAACTTCACTATTTCGCTATGCATCAGGCAATTTTTTTGTAACTCAAGAACAGCTTCATCAATTTTAACAATTCTTCTAAATAATGTTGCCCTGTGATAAACATTTTGTATATTTCAGAATTCCTCAGAAAAATTTTGTGTCGGAGATATCGCTTCGTTTTTAAAAAATTCTTGAAAATTTTATAAATTTTTTGTATACGAATTTTTGTGCCAAATAAATTTCCTTTATTGTTTCAAAAAAAAATTCAAAAGTACGTTCATTCATATTTATTTTGATGTATTGCATGGCACTGTAAACCTAGTAGCAACAGCACAGAAAATTCCTAGCTGCAACATACAAAAATAGGCCAATTTTCCCGTGGTAAGGAAAGAGCATAGCCTCCTTTATTTTCTGTGCCCGCGCAGTCAGTCCGCCGGGCCCGTTCGGCCGCCTCCCGCATCCTCCTCTCTTTTTGCGTCTGCTGTCCGCCAGGGGCGCTCGCATCCCAGAATCGAGTCGTTGGCGTCCCAGAATCGAGGTTCGTGGCGATGGCTGTGGAAGGAAGGAAGTGCTCTGCAACGTGTTCGTGATGCGATGTGCTGTCAAGACGTATATCGCCCAACCATATCACCTAACCGGGCTGGGAGGTGTCTCACCGAGTGCCAGGAACCATCGGGACAGCATATATGTGCGGTGACAGCGTAATTTCGCGCTGTAAGAGCCCATGTGAGGACGAGGCCTAACAGGCCTGTCTCGTTCTAGTGGCCTCGCGACAGCACCCACGCCGGCAGGTGGGGATACCGACTGTGCACGAGAGGTGGCGCCTGTTTTCTCCAGCATTCACGTGTGAGGGGCTTTGCGACGGTGGAGCTGTGGTGCGCGCGTGCTGTAATGTGGTGCGTGCTGTAATGAGCGGTTAAGGCGTATCTCAGCAATCTTGCGCATCGGCGGGAGACCATCGAGACATCCCTGTGCGGTGACAGTGTAACGACGCGCTACACAAGCCTATGTGGGGGACGAGGCCTAACAGGCCGGTCTCGCTTTAGTGGCCACCAAGGCAGCGCCAAAGTCGACACGTAGTGGTACCGACTGCGGTCGAGAGGTGGTGCCAGTTCGACCATAGTGCGGTGTTGTGTGGACTCGACCGAAATGAAGCACACCAAGAGGGCGAAGGCTACAAAAGGAAAGGCGTTAGATGGAGAATAGCTGGTCGATTGGGTGCAGTGTCCGAGCTGCGAGCGATGGCTCGAGCGATCAGACACACCATTTGAGACAACGCAAGAGGCGGAGGCTGATTCATCCTTCCTTTGTCGCATATGCGAGAGAATGAGGGTCATGAGTGAACAGTCTCAGTTACAATACAAACAGGAGTCGGAGAGGTGGCAGTTGCCCTCAGATAGCCTGGCGGTGCGGTTGGAAGCACATATTGTGAACAGCAAAAACGAGCGAGAGGTGCTGCTGGACAAACTTGCAGAGGAGAGAAGGCTGAGAGGAGCATTAATTGAACAAGTTGGAGCACTACAGAGAGCTTTGAACATAATAGACGCAGAAAAAACCAGCAGCCACGAGAGCACCAGTGTGACGAGGAGGGTAGAAGTGACCAAGTCTGCTGAGGATGTAAGCGATGTGAGGAATGCGGTTAAAGCCGCGGCAG